ACACGTGACACGTCACACATTTACGCATATATTTGGCTAGGTATCTCTGATTACCCTTTTGTTTATGATGAATTTGTTCAACTCTTATTTCTTACTTTTTTTCAAAGTTTTCTTTAGTTTTTAAATTCCGAATTTCAGTCAGAAAAATTGATAGTATTATCAAATGTTGTGTTGTGCGTAATAGTGATATGGTAAACAGTAACCGTGTAAACGGGATAAACGATGTGAATGGGCGAAGGTGATAGAAAAGCACAGCTTGAAGAAATTCAATCTATTGAATCGATATATGGTGATTTGATTCATTTCGAATCGTCTTCACAACTCAGTATACAGTTTAACGATGTACGGTTGACTATCTCTCTTCCCAAACATTACCCAACAAGGTAAAGTTTTATCGGAATACATATAGAAATATTCTTTTAATAATATTAAGATACATGTATCAGATAAGTTGATCTTTTCATTGTTTACGTTGACATTATTTAGATAGATGATTTGCGTACTCAAAGATATGCCTGAAGTAATCGCCTGGTCCTATTCATTTTCTGTACTTCGCATCTAAACTTGCATTTGCTTTATGAATTTACTAGTGAATTTTCGCGTATTAAAAATTGCGATGGCTGAGAAATTGCCAACTTTTTTTGATGATTGATTTCTTCATAACATGGTTAATGATTGCACCTCATAACTGTAAATGGCTTTTGAACTTCAGCTCACCGCCATATTTCGAGCTTAGCGGTCCGTCATTAACAGAAGTCCAGAAAGAAGAGGTGAAAAATTCTATGAATGAAATTTATGCAAGGAATGTTGGCCAACCAGTTTTGTACGAGTGGATTAGATACCTGAATGACTATTTAGCTGATTTTGATAGTAGTTTCAAGGAAGAACCAATCGATGAAGATGAATCTCCATCCATTAATACAGTTATTTCACCGGCATCATCTCAACAGTGCATTCCAACTATAATCAGTGGCAATTCATTGGTAGATCGGAAAAGCACCTTTCAAGCGCATGTTGCACAAGTATTCTCTAAGAATGAAGTGAATTTTACACTTTCTTTTTGATACACATTTTTGATTTTTTGATAATCGATATGTGAACAGATATCATCATTCTTAAGGGCGCTAGACTAGTCCTAATTGTTTCATTTCATCAATAAAGTTGAAATGCGGAATAAATTTCAAAAAATGTGATACAGTTTTATGTCTAGCATTTTTCAATTTATTCCTCAAAGCTTTTTATTCTGCATTTTGCAGGTAACCCTTGTGCTGAATAAGTTGAAGGAAAATAACAAAATTGCAAGGGCAACACATAACATGTATGCATGGTTAACTGAAGAAAATGTAAATGGCCGCTTGATAAAACAGCACGATTGTGAGGTAAGCTTTTTGACTCAGTTTTTTTCTGCTTTGATTTCAACCATTTTGAATTTTCATAGCTGGAGATAAAGCAGTTATAAGATTGATAGTTCCGAAAATTTTGCAGTAAACTTTGGGTGTATTTTACTATTGTGGATAAGTCTTTTATCTGCCACTTTCATGATATATGCGTATCATTCGACGAACTTGAGTTTTTAGGATGATGGTGAGATCGGTGCAGGTGCAAAATTATTGAATTTATTAGAGTTGATGAAAGCAAAAAATGTACTGGTCATCATTACTCGCTGGTACGGAGGTATACATCTTGGGCCGGATCGATTTCGACATATTTGCAATTTAGCACGCCAGATCCTGGTGGACAATGGTTTTTCCGGTCGTACTTGATCTTAAATTTCCTATTTTATTACTTGCCAAATTGGGTAAAAACTAAGAATGGAAAATTTCCAGCAATCTTTAAATCCACAGAGGCAGAACTGATAGATTTCTAATATTTAGTTCATTTTTTTGATAAATCCCTGATATTTAATTTAGCATGTGAGGAATTTTTCAGACTTCAGTGCGTTTACAGCTACACTTTACTATATAGCAATTGTCTATGTTTCAATAAATTAGCAGATTTCCAATACTTTTTGAATTATTTTTAATTTTATTTTGATTATGTCATAGAATTCTGTCTGAAAAACATTAACTGTGATAAATTTTCTATTTAATTCTTGCTTAATTATATGTTTTCCACTATTTTTTGAATGCATTTGAGAATGTGTAAAATGCATTCTCAATATTGAAATAAAGAAACTTTAGAATTTTGCTTAGGTCGTTAAGTGTGTTCCATCCCAGTTAATAATAACAAAAAATTTAAATAAAAAACCTGATGGGGTTAATTTCTTGTTATATCTGCCTCTTCGCTTAGATGTTGTTGATTATTTGCTACTTTAGTGTTCATTCCTTTTAAATCCTATATAAATCCAGTTCCTTTCATAGTTTGTAAGAAAAAATACGTTTCCGTTTTTCCCACCTATCTCTTAATGTTTTGACAAAAATGTAATTTATCATATAAGTGATTTACATGCTTCTTGCAGTTATCATTGTTGATCGCATGCCTTTCTTTTTTACTAATCGAATCGGACAAATATGTTTTCAATATTACGTCTTTTTAACGTGATAGCTTATTAATATTATCTTTAATATTTTCTTTTTAAATGAGCATCAATGTATTTGGGCGGGATAGTCATCTTCGATATTCAAAGCTAATTTAAGGAAACATTTTAATTATTATCTTTGATTCTGATCATCTATTATTTTGTGTATGATTAACAGATTATAACCAAAATAATAATGTCAAGCTATGATTAAATAATGTGATTTAGAGAAATACTTTTCACGTTATTATTGTTTGCAGAGTTGGCATATAGCACTCCCACTTCGGAACTCTAGAAAATCTCTGATAAGCAATGAAGGTTCGATTCATAGAATGAAGTTCGCAGCAAAATCGGGGTGGGATATCTACATTGAAGATAGTCTTTTGTTTCAAAGTTTCTAGCAGCTTGCTATTGATGAACGATGTTTTGATTTGTTTTTGTTTTTGAATGAAAGCAAAAATGTTGTGAACATTCTATGTATCGAAAACCTATTCCCTACCACTAATAATATGTAATTTAAAGTGAAATTTGTATCCAGATTATGATTTTTATACACGAGTTTGTAATGATTTCGTAAATGCATACAATAATTTTTGTATTATTTTTATTCAAGCATTGTTTCATAATTCATTTTACTTTTTACTTTAATTAAATTTGTAAGTGCAATAAAGAAGTTTTAGGATTTAGTTGCGAACACCTAATTTTATTAATGGGAAGAAGACTAATTTTGGTTCCAACTTGGGAAATTGATTTTTTTTTTTATTTTGATGTATGATTATGTGATTTAATAGAAAGCAGCTTTTGCATTCTCTGGTTTTGGATTTAATGTGGGACTATAATTCTAATAGATTTGAAAGGGAATAAAAAATGTCGGCGGTATTCAATTGCTGGTATTTGTTGTTAAATGTTAATGATTGGTTTATAATAGAATAAAAGTTTATTGCAGTAGTAGGAGACATGAAGGAAGCAAAATGGAGTGAAATGCCAATATATTTGATGGGATATTTGTGGTCAACTAATACTTTTATTTATTAAGTTAAATGTAGTTCAAAATTCGATCAAATTGTTCCTTTCATAACTTTTCCGTCAATACACTGGGAGGTCGTTGTCATCTTTTCAAGTTTACTTTTTCATAACCACACAACAAGTATTTTTCGTGATAATGCGTGTCAAGTTAGAGTAAAGCATTTTAGCAATTTTAAATACGCCAAAAGATTCGTTGTTGATACTCTAAAGGAATTTAATAAAGATATTAGATATTGAAAAATT